TGAGAAAACTTTCGTTGCGTTATAACCCTGGATTACGCGAGAGTAGAAAATCGTTTCGTCCTTTGGGATCACAATGTTACATTTGGGTGGAATATCTTCCCGTGACTTCTCATTTTATATATCTTTACTTGATATTTTCACGATCTTACTATGCTTGATATTCATCGACCCTATCTTGGAAAAAAATCTTCATAATTCAAAATTCACTAATCTTGATTTGTAAAGCGCAATCGATATGCAGATATAATAATGTTAAGGATGTTTTATACTTATTTTCAAAATATTGAGAATTTAATGATGAGAATTTAATGAAAATTGTACAGAATGTCCTTACATATGTTTAGAATCTTCCGCACAATTTTTAAATCGATTCACTAAAGTGTTCACAAGTTAGAAGGATTTTAATTTGCACTGAATTAACATGTGTTCTTATGGGAAACGTATAACCACGTCGATTCAAATGACAAAAACACATGGAATTAATATTCAGAATTTGTTTAAAATTTGCACAAGTTTAGATACAAAGGAAATATTTGGTCAAATAATATTATACAAGTACTAACTGATTAAAAAGATATTAAATATAATTCAATAAAGTTAGCCATGTATCTGTCTCACAAGGCGAAATTTTCTGCCAAAAGTTAATCATTTCGATGAACAAAATTCGGAATATTTCAGTAAAAACGCAATAAATTCCACACAATTTTTTACTCAAAATACACAAAAAATGGATATATTCGTCAATATTGATTTTCAGCTACTTTTTGCTGGGATTGTACATACAAACAACATATACAAACAACACATAAGAATGAAAGAATGTTTTTTTAACAATATATGATCCTATATCATGTCAATAGTCTTAGAAACAAAGATTGTCGATGTTCAGTTTTTGAAGATGTAAAGGAAATGCTCGCTACCATTTGCGGCTTCAGCAGGGAACGGAACATGTATTGTTTCGTAACGTGGTACAGATGCGCCGAATAAGCTCAATCCACGCGCAGCTGGATACATACAATGTACCTTATACCGGCAGTAATGTAGTGAAATTCGTACACGTTTGCGAGAGAAACTAGATAAGCGTAAATTGGATGACACCAACAAGAGATGCTAGGAGAATACCGTTACCAAGCAGTTACAAATCCTTTGATCAATTTATAAATAAATTTTTCGTATCTCGAATATCGTTGTTTTTCTGTTTATTTAAAAATGTATATAACTGATAAAGCTCAAATTGAAATTTTACTAAAAGAAAATTGGTTTTAATATCAGGATTTTGCTAGAAATCATATAATAATCAGCATTTGCTAGAAATTATATAAACAATGTCTGTCAAAATAAAAATTAAAAATTAAAATTTCCATCAAAATAAAATTAAACTAAAGTTACATGAAAAATAAAATTTTTGTTGAATCAAAATTTACCTAAAATTAAAGGGAAAAAAAACTGAATTTTTGTTCTTTGAAACTCGATTCGTGAAAACATGTGAAAATTTTTGAAATTTTTTCGTTATTATTTTGCATCTACTGATGTATTTTAATTAAAAATTTTTAGTTCAAAAAAAATTCGGCTTGTCAATAAATCTGTAAATAAGACAGGCACATGAAGAAATAAAAGTGAGCACTAATGAAATATAAATATATAAATATAAGGTGAGATCAGATAGAAAGGTATGCGAGATATTAGAGAAGTTAAACTGCGTGAAACGCTTGTTCATAAACATAATTTCGTAGTTGCGATTAGAAACATTTTGAATACTATTACAATAGACAAAATCTATTTTAATGCAGTCATTATTGTCATTACGTCACTTATTTCGCTTGAAAGATGTCACAGGCAACTGTGCAGGAAGAAAAAGAATAGGAAGATGAGAAAAGAATTGTTTTCACTGTCTCGGCCGTTTCGTGGCAGCTTAATTTTATCGGACGCCTGTTTCCAGCATCGCGCGTCAATGACCCCCTCTTTCCCTCTCTTTTTCCATCCGCTTTCAAGCTCTTTTTCTCTCATGGCTTCAGCTCGGGGCGCATTCCTAGTAAAAATAAGCGAGTTCCTCCGGCATGGTTTCTGCAATCGCGAGAGGAGAGTACACGAGAGAAGGGAACCTTCGTTGTCGTCATCGTCGTCGTTGTAGTTTTAATACGCGCGATGCAACCGTCTAGACTTCAGAGTGCGCGCGATATACGCGATTGCAAGCAGACGCGAATAATGAGATACCAAGAGAGATGTGAGAAGAATCTCATAGGCGAGAACAATGAGTTCATGTGTGTGTATATATATCATACATATGTACGTATATATAAGATAAGGAAAAAATTTGAAACATCTATTATTTAAAAATATATTATAAAATTATTTCATACTTGTAATATATTGTGTGTGTATTTGAATTATTTCCTATAAATTAAAGTTTATACACAGAAAAAGAATAAATGTCAAATCAAAACTTATATACTTAAACTAACGCGTTCATTGTTTCGTATATACGCAACAATTTATAATCTTCTTAGAAGAATTTAATTTTAAATTTCAACAATATCACAATCTTATTTTAATATTGTAATTGTCAGCTCAAAAATATATAATTCTACTTTAAGAAAATTATAATCTTTGATTTAAAAATGTTATTTTCTATCTAACATTGTTTCTTTTCCATTCAAGAAAATTAAATCTTAAATCATAAGAATATACTTTTCTTGGTTGAACTATATAAAATGACTTCATTCAAGTAAGCAATTATTCAAGCAATTATATTTTTCTTTCATTAACGCAATCTCATTTTAAGATTTTCATGTTAAAACTAAATATATTTTCAAAACAAGAATGTCCTTTTTCTCTGTGTATAAATTAATCTAAATTTTCATCGAATATATCATTCATTTTATCAGATACAAAATAGCACAAAATAAAATTGAACTTGATATTAAAAAAAGAATATGTTTCACTCAGCATAAAGTTTATATATATATGTGTAACATATATTTGTAATAATTTATAATATAAAGTTTGATATATCTCAATTGTTCCTTTAAATTTCTTATTGATTAAATTCTCGTAATAAGATTAAAACTACTTTTAATATATTATAGAAATGTAATATTATTTTTTATAAAATAATAAGGATATTTCTTTATTATTCTTTATTAATCCTATGAGTTGAAATAAGTTGAGTCAATCTGAATCGATTTGATAATAATTTAAAAACTAGTTTTAAAATATAATAATTTAAAATTAGTTTTTAATTTCTACGTTTTTATTTTTTATTTTATTCCACTTTTTTTAACGAAATCTATAATGACGATATAGATATAGAATAAATTCTTGAATTGCAGTTGAAAAGCGAGCAGTGTATCAACCGATTACGCTGCGAAAATAGGAGTACTATAATTTTTTCTCGTCTAATTTTCTCAACATGGAAAATGCGATTTACATAGACGATAACGGTAACAGAACTGCAAGTAATAAGTTATCGTAGATCGGGGTTACTTTGATCCGGAGCACGATTATTGTTGATGAAATTTATTGCCGGTATTTTATACATTTTACTCTCTCCTTCTTGAAAGCGACAGCGCTTTGCTTCGAGCAATTTCGTAAATTGACAAGCGAGAAGAAAATTGAGTATGTAATATCCAATAACTTTAATTGAAAAATATTTCTTTCTAAGAATTATTTTCAATATATTTTTAAAAACTGACAATTATGCATTTTTGCATATAATTTCTTCTAACACATAAGATAATTACTGTCATAAGATGTGTAGATGCAAAAGCTTATTTTAAAATTGTCTTTATGTACTTTCGAGAAACGAAGATTACGTGATATAAAATTTTCGCTAGCTTAATTTTTCCTAATCTAATTTTTGTACTTTTAAAATCTAAATTTAAAATATAGGGGACTTAATTTACTCCAAACACTGTTATTGTTGTCATATTTGTCTGTATTTCTTTTCTAGTGAAAAATGCAGACAAGCACAAACAAACGTCACGAAATATTTTGCTTCATTGCTCATGTATAAGGTTTCGTTCGATAATAAGAAGCGGCATATTTCCAATAGAGCGAGCAATCAAAAAAAAAGAAAGAAAAAAGAATGTTCGTGATTCGTAGCACAATTTTTTCGATCATGTATTACAAGAAAATTCATGAAAAGTAGTTCTAACGTTTAAGAGAACATTTATTATATTTTGTTAAAAAATGTTGTAAAATAATAGTTGCACTTTTATCAGAGCAAATCCTGGAGCGTGATAAAAAAGCGCGGATAAGCGAAATTCTATTTCAAAGTATGAATTTTTTGCGCAATGCATGACGATTATTTAAGAGAAAAAAATCTTTCATTCATGAATATCCTAAATAAAGTATGGTAATGGAACGTACGCTGCATGACTTAAAATTCAGTTTTAACTGGTAATTTTCTACCTATTGTGCCATAATTTGCGCATTCAAAATTTGAAAATCTTTCAAATGTAAAAAATACATGTATTTATGCGCAATAATAATTGAGTCATTTATATTATCGGCAAGAATGATTTTCATTTCAAATTACTTCTTTCTCTTATTATAACAAAAACAAAAATAAAATTAAAATAACATTTTTGCAATTAAATTTTAATTTCAAAAATAAAATTAAATAAAGATGAATGTAAATATTAATATAATCAGATACACACACACACACACACACACACACACACACACACACACACACACACACACACACACACACATACATATATATATATATATATATATATAATTAAAATATAAAAATATTGAAAAACAAAATATATAGTGCAAATATTTTGAAATCTGCAGAGTAACAAATATTTATTCAATATTTCTATACCATGTTCCTGTCGCATAGTAACTTTTTTACGCGACAGCTTAACGATTCAAAAATGACAGGAGTTCCAAAAATTGCATGTCACACGCGATACATGTCCCCGCATTGTTTCTCGCAATTTGCAACGTGAAATGCGAACTCGAAACTGCAACAATCCTTCACTCACCTCGTAGAAGTAAAACGAGTCAATTTCTTCCGTTATATTGACATCCGGTTGTGACGTGACATTGATGTAATCCAGTAGTGCTTCACAGAGTTCGTCGGTGAAGTTCCTCAATCCTTGGTCGGCCGTCTGATTACATTCGCTTGATCGCACTTGATTCGCGTTTCCGAACATGTTTGTATTGATCAATAACATCCACCGCTCAGATTTTCACTTTGCAAGTTTGCCATGCAATAGTCATAAGTTCGATTCGACCGATTTCATCTCTATTGACGGCGCGATTCTTTCACTCCGCGAAACACCGCTATTTCCACAATAGTTTTGATTTTTGCTTGTTGCAAGTTCTCCTGATGAAGCAATTATAAGAGCTTAAAAAGTTTCACCGTATCCCGTATTTGTTATTTCGCGACTCACTCGGTACACCAGGAATAATCAAACGACTCGATTGAAACATGTTCAAAATAACAAGATATATCCGTGGGTCTCATCACTTTTAATGCACAAACGAAGAATTGTAAGTGATTGAAAAATACAAAATTTATAAGGGAGCCTCGCAAATGAACTCGAAAATTCTAATTTGATAAAATTTTACACACACAGAGGGAGGGGAAGGGAGAGAATAAATAGATGAATTTAGAAATTTTCAATTACCGTTCCAAAATGACTGAGAGATGAAACCACTCCAAAAAAAGTTTCATATTAAAAATGCTTTTATTTAATAATATGACTAAAATTTTGAAAACTCTTTAAAACACAAAATAATTTTATCGAAATTTTATTAATGTAATTAAATAGAGATATTTCTATCATAAAACTTTGGTATAAAACATTTTTTAATATTTCGTACAATTTTTGAGATATATCGAGAAAGCACAAAGTCATTTTACATATATATGGGCTTTCACTATACAAGTTTACTACATAATTTGCAAGTAAATCAAATGACTTATTTTTTTAAACATTTGCAATAAATTTAAATAAATATTAAATAATATACCACTATATCGTTATTTATTCCAAATTTTGTGATGTATTATGAAAAAGAAATAATAAAAATTATATTATTATATTATTATATTATTATTGATATAATATTTAAATATTTTCTTCTCATAACATCGCAGAAATTAAAAATAATTGCTTTCAACTGCGATAAATACAATTTATAAAATTTGCGCTCAAAACATAAGTTCCGTCCTTTATATATTGATGTAATGTAAAAATTAGCATAATTTTTTCAAACATTGTTTATAACGATATTGCATCATGTTAGAAGCCGCTTAAGCTAAATAGATTTTAATTACTGACAATGAGTTAGCCACGTTAAAAAGTAAAGAAATTGTTAATTGTGCCGATCATATCATCCATCTTGCGAAAGAAATGACCAAGAAAAATGGACAAATGAGTTGATATCGCGAAAACTTACGCTCAAGCCATCTCGTTGTATGTGTATGTTCGCCAAGAGCTCAGCTACGATATTTTTTCACTCCAAAAATCTGCCACATAGAAGAATTATAGCTCCGATTTTTACTTCCGATTCGCTGGATACTACTGAACAGAAAATCCGGCTTATTTGTACATCATATCATGACTATTCTTGTCCGCTCATGAATATTTCGACTTTCTAAATCTTGCCGAGAATCGAATGATATATTACGATGATGTCGGAATTAATTATTGCGAAGGCGCTTATATTAATAGCAACACTGACTGACAAACAGCTACTGTGATAGTGGACATTAAACAAAATTTTCTGTATCACTTTTGATAGACATAAATTTTTTTCAATAATTTCGTCTTTTGTCTTAATTTAGTCAATTAATTCCTGCGAGAAATAAACGATTCGTTATTTGATATAATAAATAATAGTCTCTAAGTCTTAGAATAAACTTTCTTCAAATAAATTTTAGTCTATACATAAATATGATATAAATGATATTTAGATTGATTTTCTGTATACATATTTTGCATAAGAAAATAGACGCATATATATTATAATATAATGAAGGGAATTCTATGAAGTTTTACGATGAATATTATTATAATATTAACCTAATAATATTAGAATCGTGTTAAAAAACTTTAAATTTATATACATAAGTTAAGATAAAAATATTTAAAAATTTATATGCAAGTTTTATTTTATATATAAATTTACATGTAAACGAATTACATGTTATACAAATAAACTAAACAATGTTTGAAAGATGAATGTATTATAGCAATTTAAGATGTAGACGATATTCGTTAAAGTCAATATATTCTTCGCAGCGCCCATTTAATTTAGTGATTTCAGTGGTTAGCGTGGCATTTCACGTCGACTACGAGAAAATTATAGGTCTGTTGCGCACAGTTGACTACTAATTAATGAAAAATTTCTCCTACGCGACGTTTCTATTTTATATTCTCAAAACAGTTCTCTCTAAACGTTTATTTTTGGTAACTAATCGTTTATTTTGATTATCTCATACTTAGTCTTGACGCGCCATGTGATACGTATCTTACATTTCCGGAATACATTAATACGCGCGTTAACATCATTTGGCATCGTAGAAAAAACAAAGAAAAAAAGATTAACGCAAATTGAAATTTTTTGGTCCGTTGTAACGAACATTCTTCTTTCAGTGACATTTAGATTGAATGGGAAAATTGAAACCAGAATCTCGTTGACCTTTTTAAACGTCATATATCTGTGCACGTAAAAATTTTTAGCTTATAATAATCAAAATCAATTAGAATTAAAAGGATTTACATTGCATTAATTGTTTCATCAAATGAAGCATTGCATTAATTATTTATCAAATAAAGCAAAGTAAATTACATATTAAATAATGAGGCAAGAAACATAAATATATGTAACTGTATAATATGATTTAGCTATAATATGATAAATTAGATTTGTATTTTAAATTTTTTAAGATATTTTCTCAATATTTTGTACTCTGCAAACGAGTTTTTACTCTCAAACAATTGTATTCGATTTGAGAATATTTTTTAAAACAAATCACTTTGCGAAATCAAAGATTAATTGATGACAATATGAACATATATATTTATCTTGCCTTTGTGTGCATCAGTATATAATAAAGTAATCATATTAAAAGCAAATTTGGAGAAGTTTCTGAGAAAATGTATATTGAAAGTCATGCTTGTCTTTCCTGACGCAAAACATTAAAGGCATGTAAAGAAAGAATTTATTCATTATGCTATCTTCATAACAATAAGAATAAGACTGGGAATAATTTCTTGAAAGCGTAGAGCTTGTTGTATCGCATAGTTTTATCTTTTTTTTTTCATTTTTCTCTCTTATCAACTTGGAATGAGACGAAACGCGCGATTTTATATGAGTAAAATAAAAATGAGAAAATAAAAATTATTATTTACTAAACATTCGTAGCTACGATTTTTATGGGCATTAATATAATTTGTAAAAATGTTTGATGCAACTTGAAAAGATTTCGAGTTATATCGAGAAAATGGACACGAGGTATCGCGAGTGAATAGATATGGAAAAATGTGCACTTGAATAGGGACTTGTACATGAACAACAAGCGCATTTTGTCAATCGAGAGAGGAACAGAGATTTACTTTATGCACGGTTAAAAAATTGTTCAATCCGTACGAGAATATATATGTCACATTTAAACGCAGCTTATACTTTTTATTTCTCTGATTGCGTTTTTTGTAATAGTTGTGCGTAATAGTTGTGCAATATCAGAAAATATTTTATATTTATAAATACAAGTATATAATACATGTATTGACGTTATTTATGTACTTTATATTCGCAAGAGAAGATAAAAAATGAATATTAAAATTAATACGTATTTCTATTAATTTAGATTACATTTTATTCCCAATAATAAATATAAATATTATATATAATTCTAGAAATATATTTGAAAAAATTATTATATTTTGAAAGAAATATTAGTAAAAAATTTTTAAATCTGGTAAGGTTATTGAAACAGGTTCGAGACATATTTAAAAACCAAAATGAACATCGCTAAAGACGATGATGAATTTTGGTTCAGCAGCGAAAAGCGATTATTCTGCTTCGAAAACAATAAGGTGGATTAATTGTTTAAAGTATTGAAGAATGAAACTGAAAAATTGTAGGCTAAAATCTCAAATAGATCACTTTCCGAAAATAGATCTTAGATCTACCGATGATCTTCAAACGACAAAACCATTGTTCTCGATTATATCTGAAAAGACACTTTCATGCATTTTAGCTGCAGACAAGTTACAGAATGTAAATACAGAAACAGTTATTGAACAACAAGATATCACTTTAAGAAAGATATTGCTTGGTCATATTCATTGGAACAATACAAGTCTTTTGCTAGCAAAACTCTATTAGATGCTGCTATTTTAAGCGGAGATGGAAATGCTGTTTTAAAGGTAATATTATTTCTTACAAAGACTTTGAAACGATCACTTGTGTAAAGATTATTAATAGAAAGACCAGAGGTAGTTAATATATATATATATATATATATATATATATATATATATATATATATATATACATTATCTTTTCATAAGACTGCAAACAAATGAAATAACTGATATTTTGACAATGCTTGGTCATTCTTTGACTGCTGCTATGAAGGTTCTTCATATTATTATAAGAAACACAAGAGATCCAAACAGATTACTGCAAAAACTTCAAAATTGCCAGAAAGCATTTTGTCATGTTATTTGATTGTAAAGAAGCCATGTTTTTGGAATCTTATATTAGAATGGCAAATAACAATCAAACAGAAAACGGATAATAAAGAGCTTGAATTCTTCTATTCGATAATCTCTGCATTATGCATGTAAACATCATTACAATACACCAAATACATTTGTTGTGATATCACATACAGTGCTCTCTCAGAATCACAAGTTAAAGCTGCCTATGGTGAATGGGACGACATTGATCGTTTACTTACAACAAAAGGAATACTTGGTAATACAAAGCTACAAATACATTTGTACATAGAAGATATTTTAAAAGTACTGTACAAACACAATGCATCATGGGCCATTCTCGAAAAGTATTTGAAATTCGTCGACAATTTAGAGAAACGATTGGAGTTTGCAAAAAAAGTTATCTTGCCATATAATAGTAATCGATATATTTGTATAATAAGGAGACCGCATGATGCTGATGGATTACAAAGCAAAATTGCAACCTCAATTGGACGAATATTTTTATGTCGAAAGTGCGCTGCGTAACGCAATGGGGCTAAGGTGCCGGATATGACCGAGCATATCGAAGATTCGAGATCCTTTAAGGATTCTTTACCGAAAAATATACTGGAGCACGCACTTTACTCCAAACTTCAAATCGATAAGCACGCGTCTCTATAAGTTTCTAGTCGATATAACTGGTCTGATTTTGTATCATCATCGTTGTGATAAAATAAAGTAGTCAAATTGTCTGTGCATTAAAAGACTGTGTCCTATCTTTATTATCCTCAATTCAACAATAAAACCGCTCGAGAGAGATATCCTATAATTTTTGGATTCTAAGATTCAAAAGAAAAAGTAACACTAAAAAACTTTTTCTTTTTGAAAACATGAAATTCTATTATTATAGTCTATTAATATCTTGATCAACTCTATATACATATACATATACATATATATATATATATATATATATATATATATATATTCAAAATTGATCTCTATGTTTATCTATCATAGTGGCAATTTATCTAAAACAAATTGATGTTATCAAAATAACATCAGTTGCGACTTGATAAACTCTATGTATACATTATATATATAGAGTTTATCAAGTCGCAACTGATGTTATTTTGATAACATCAATTTGTTTTAAATAAATTGCCACTATGATAGATAAACATAGAGATCAATTTTGAATGTTCGTTACATCGGAATCTAAATCTCGCTCGAAACTATACTAAACCGTATATACTGAACTATATTGAAACTATACTGATTTCTATCCTGCACGTGCCGCAATGGTATGTCGACCGCGCGATTAGTTTTAATCGTTTAACAAGTATTAAACTAACCGCATTTCATCAAACAGTTTCGATTACTTATGTTACATCTAATATCAAAGGCAAGTGTTTGCACCATATGTACGTTTATTTTGATATGCCAAGTGGCAAACTACATTTCTGCATGGATTGCAGCCTGATAGCATTACTTCCGAGCTTTATGTTCAGATCCTACAAATATCTTATTTCAATATACTTTAATTTACTTTAATTTATAATTTTATTTGTCTTTGAAAGCAGTATTTGGTAATAATGTGATTCAACGATTGTGTGCCATATGCTGTGAAATATTAAAAATCCTTTACCTCAACCTACATTTACTTTGTAAGAGTATTATTTGTAATATTCATTTTTTATCTTTGAATATAAAAAAAGGTTACATAAATGTATTATCAATACATTTATATTACTTGTATTTAAGAATATGTGAAATGTTTACTGACATCGCATAGTTGTTATATATATATATATATATATATATATATATATATATATATATAAGAAACACAATTTACCGTATTAAGCGAATTACAATTATAAAATTTTATAAACAAATCGACGCACGCTTTGCTTTTGATATTAAATGCAATCAAGAATCAGGTCTTGTGAGTTACGTTCATATAAATAAATACATATATCAAAAGATTTTTTTTTATAAACTGAAGAGGTTTTATATTTTATAAACTATGGTTTTCAATCAAACTCAATCTCAAGAAAAATAATGTCTCTTAAAACATAATTTGATAATACAAATAATACTAAATTTAATTCATTCATAATTCAATAAAGATAATATATCCGGTGGCAAGACTTAATATTCAGACATGATAGACGTTCTCTAAGTAGTCACATGAATCGATTCATGTGGAACAGGATTATCCGTTCACTATCGCGGGATAGAAGAATCTTTTCTTCTGAAAAAGCTTTCTGCCGCAATATTTTATCGTGCACCGTATTCATGGCTATGTTTTGAAAGAAAGAAAAAGAAAAACGAAGAAAATATTTCTTTGAAGAAGTGATTTATTCTTTAACAAGATTGTATCCTTGCGGCAATATTCTTGTTGGAAAAAGAATATTGCCTTGTTGGAAAATCTCGAAATTGTTATTGTATGCAACATGAATGCCATGAACGCATCTGATTCTAGCGCAAATTTTCAAAAACAATCGCAACATCTCTCTCTCTCTCTCTCTGTCTGTCTGTTTCTCTCTCTCTCTCTCCCTTTCTATCTGTTTATTTATCTATCTACTTATCTATCTATCTATCTATCTATCTATCTATCTATCTATCTATCTATCTATCTATCTATCTATCTATTTATCTATCTGTCTATCTATCTGTATTCATTTTTCTTTTATAAAATCTATCTTTCTCTTCTGTGAGCAATATTTTTCACAAGGTTTATGAAATTTTATTGAAAATTGTTTTATTTTCAGCCAGGCATATCTATTTCACGAATTGTTTTAATTTATTCATAACAGCAGAAAATAAACAAAATTTATTTTGACGTTAAAAATGCTATCCTCTTTGACACAGAAATAAAATATATTCAAATTATATAAAAATATGTAAAAAGTTATAGTGAATAAATTGTGCAATTCATCTTTACGGAAATTACAAAATAAAAATGATAACTAAAATTATAATTGTTATATAAGGTTATTATTGTTATATAAAATTACTATTAATAAATAAATAACTATTGTTACATAATTCTTTCTTGAAAATAAACAAAATTTATAAATAATATAGACAACGGATACATATTTAAAATAAAGAGAGAGAGAGGAACACAAAGAGAGAAAAAAATTTATTTTGTATATATAATTAAAAAAAACGTAAAATTATTTATTAATTATTTGTTGTAATATATTATATTATTTTTATATTTTTTTATATTGTATTAAACGTATCTCTAATATGTGATATAAATTGCATATAAAAACTGTACAGATTTCAAATTGAAAGAATACAATAAATTTTTTTTTAAATTTAATTGTATCTTTTTTCAAATATATTTCATATTTTTATATAATTAAACACTATCTAAAAGTTGATTATAAAAAAATGCTACATTAAAGAAATAATAATATAACATATCCATTTGTCGTTTTCGTAAAACAAAGAATGTCTGTGATATATAATAAAAATAATAAATCATAGTGTCTCATTGTTTGTATTATTATATCTAGTACTATTATTAGTATAGTAATTATGGCAATAACAATCGTATTACGTTTTTAGTTAAGTGATCTATCAATGTACTCGAAAGATTTTGAAATTTTTGATCGAGTTCTTTTGAGACATCGGATCTTGAAACCGTAGCTTATTGCGCGCGTCTGACATGCTCCGGCTGTTTCTACTCGCCGCATGTAAAGAATGTTACAAGGTATTACGAGCTACTGATTCTAAAAAGATAAATATCAACGATGGATGATCTCTCTTTGATCTCCGTGTACGATGCAATCATAACTTATTATGACATACATGATCTACGTGTTCAAAGAAAAACATAATATCGATAGAGACGGAGCAATCGTGTTGGAGAGATTTACAGGAAATTATTATTGGATGTTCAAAGCACAAAGCATGACTGCGTTTTTATAATTTTACTTTTCTTTCTCTTTAAAACCTAACTAACAAGTCTTATCCTTTTTTTTAACTTTTTGAATTCTCAATTTACGGATCCATTGTGATTATTTGTCCAAAAAGACATTAAGAGAAAACATTTAAAATATTATTAACGTATATGGAAAGTTGTACGCAGGTTTTAAATTAAAGGACAAAGAAAAAATGTAAAGAATAGAACAAAAGTGATGATTTATGAAACTGTTGCATGTCAGCTTGTTTCTAATTTTGTTTTATTCCGGTTTTTAATGTTTTTAATAATATAAATTCCCGAAAAATATGTATAAACTGGAGAGATAAAAATATTTTTCATATTATAAAAATAAAAAGAAACAATTATATATATGTTAGGTTTTATCCCAGAATAACTGAAAATTTATTGCATTGAGAAGAGAATAAGGATAAAAGAAAAATATTCCGATACGCACTCTTTTGTTCTAAAAAATAAAAACCAGCAAAGGGAACTTGAATGCATAGATTTGAAAATCAAATTGCTCATCATCAATTACTTTATTCTTGTTTTCAATGTGAATTTATTATCAATTTTAAAATACAAAATTTAACATCAATATTTTAAAAATGGTGACAAATGTAAAATAAAAACAAAAGAAATGTAATCAAAGATTTCGCATATTTTGATCCTATCAATTTTTATACAACGAATTTAACAAAGTAAAATGAATTCTGTATGGAAAGATTATAAAAGATAATTAACGATAAAATTTCTAAAACTCTGTTATACAAAAATAATACAAAGATTATGAATACATTGATCGTTCATTAAACACATTATTTGGATAAAAAGGAAAATTAGATAATTGAATAAAAAGAAATAAAATATAATTCAATATAATTTTCTAATCCTATCGTACTATTTATCACCACCAAATTTTTATCGTCAATGAATATATTAATTAATTATGAATATATCAATTTAAATTACTAGATATTAGTATTAATCACAAAATAATTCTAGTACAATGTGTTTTAAAATGAGCTAGTCTAAAAATAAATGAGTTACACATATTTTAAGTAAACTATCACATTACACCTGATGCCCAAAATATCTGAAGACAAAATGACTGTCGATACTAGTATTAATGTTATATATGACGACATTATCAAAAGTTAATTTACTTAGTCTTACTTATTACACATACCCGAAAAACTGCAGTGATTAGGAATGAAGCGCAATATTGATTTTAGAAGGGGAAAAAGTGACCTTTACTGAAACAATAATGAAGAATAATCTTACGGCCATTTAAAGTGTCTCGATATCGTATTCTGCAACAGGTTACACTACTCCCCCGAGTGCTATCTATTTTAAAGCAAGGATATCCATGAAATCGGCACGCTTGTATTCAATCGAATCCCCATTTATCATGGGAAATTCATCACAATTGTGTTTCAAACATGGAAAAATATTACTCGGATTACTCGATAAAGAATCATCCCTCGAACACCATTGCTAAAACACTATCAGTCAATTTTGAACGTAGATATGCTTCGCGATACCTTGCATGAAACAAGCGATCAGCAAATCAGATCAGGGTTTCGCTCTTTCGACAAAATATAGCAATTAATTTATTATTGATCTTATCAGATGTATCGAGAAGTTCATAATTTTTTGTAAAAATTGAATTTTATGTGACGTTTAACATACGTTTCGTTGACGATTATTCGACGGCTCGTTTTATGCTTATTTATTTCGTATTATGTAGGTTTGTCGGTTTAGGCTCAAACTTCCGGTTACGTCACATTCCCGTCGAACGTATCTTTCGAATAGACGGATGAGTAAAGAATAGAATGATCTCTAACGGAGAGCAAAATGCAAGAGCAAAAACACACCCGCTCGTACGGCGCGCGGAACGCGACTGAAGGCGCGTCGAGAGCCGGTTTCAGAGAAGGAACTACCGGCACACGACGTGGCGTCGCGCTCGCACGCGCCCACGCTCGCGCACGTGTCGAAGGGTTCTGGCGAATTTACCCTCCCATAGAGAACACAAAAAAAAAGAAAAAAAAATTATATACACCTCTGTAATGTATTAATATCACACAGTTCAAGTACGATGCTCGATATCGTAACTTTCGTACTATTTTAAGATACGTTCGGCTGATGATAATTTATTGAAACATTAGCTTTCCCATTCAGGAAGTGATTTAATTCGAGAGTAATATAATGTAACATTTAAGCCAGTATGATGCATAAAAAACTAGAGTTAAAATAGAAAAGATCTAATTTTATATAAAATAAAAAAATTAAATTTATTAAATTTAATTTAATTTCTCAATATGTCTGATGATTAACAATACGGAAATATTGTGTGTTAAAGATATATTGAATATGCTTTGTAAATAGAATAAAAAGAAAATAAAAATAAAAAAGTTTGGGATTATTGTTTCGGAAGAGTTTGAATTGTTTGTGTATAAAAATATTCAAATCGAAATCATTGCGTGGTAAATTTTATATTTAAAATTTTGTCACATAATAGTACAGGAATTAATATTTTTTATAAAAATTTATAATTGAAGATTTTTATATGTATAATATTTTTATATTATTATTTATTCTTCTCTTCCTCTCTTGTAATATTGTTCTTCTCTAGTATATATATATATATATATATATATATATATATATATATATATAATTAACTAAAATAAAAAATTAAAATCGTACATAATATTATATACAATATTAATGTATTATAGTTAATTATTAAAAAACAATATTTAAATGAGGAATATTGAAACAGAACTAAAAATAAATAAAAAATATGAAAAAGAGATGAAATTCTATATCTTGACATATATTTCTGCAACATTTTCTCAATAAATAAAACATATTTGTCGCAGTTATAGCTCAATAAAAGTATTTAGCGAAGAATAATAAACATGCATATAATTGTATCGACAAATGTCGATTCTGAATATACTTGTACCAACAAGTGGTTGGATATTATTAAATTTATCTCTTTTAATTCCGATTGGTTTACTTTAATCCCAGTCAATTCCGATCAGCAATTTCAATGCGGTTTTAATTTCATCTGATATCGTGAAATCTCATTCTGAGTGTTAATTAACTTTCCGAATTAAAGAAATCGAAGATTATTTTTCCCTCTATTTGAATCCAATGTTCTGTAAATAACTGTTTAAATACACATAAAGTGTCATGTTTTGTAATCCGAATTAATGCAAGTCTAACACATTTTTGTATTTTAATGATATATTTCAATACATTTGAATTTATTATTCAAAATAGCACGAGATGTAATAGAATAATAAATAAAAAATAAAAAGATCAAAATCGTCTTTCTATTATTTTTATTAACTTTATATTATTTTTATTGACCTATTATTAAATCTTAATTTTACGTTTTTATTGCATTTAATAATTCAAAATGGTAAAAAATTGATTGAGAATTCAATTATCTTCAATGGAAAATATGTACATTATTTTGTAATAATTTCTAAATTAGATTCTTTTTTATAAATATTATAAATAAATCATAATCATAAAAGCCTCGTAAATGGTTGATATAGTGGTCGATTATGAATTTCTAAACATATCCCAATGTAGTAATGTAATATCCGCACATTTTGCCACATATGCGTAGAGGTATATCGTTTAATATTTTGTAATATCTAATTTCTATATTTCAAATTCATACGTAATTACCATGAAAATCATTGTTTATCGGAACGGAAATACAATTAAATATCGATATGCATTGACAAAAACTGATATTATGTTAAATGTAGTGGAAATATTCCTTTATTATTATTTTTTATTTTATGCCTCACGATGTATATATAAAGAATATACAATTCGTAAAAATTATAAGAATATTAAACGGCTCATAAATTTATAATAATTATATAGTTTATTTCAGAAAATTAAATGATTCACTTTGTATAATTCCATGTAATTGTGGATTATCTTGAAAGCGCGGAATTAATTAAGATAATCTTTTTCCCAAAACTTCAAGCGTCTTAGAGTTAATGCCGGGAAAGTATTGCTTTCCATTTTCATCCACTATGTCGATAAAATCTTGTGTTGCCAATAGTTCGAATCCTGCACCTTTCGCTGATTTTTGTGAGATTATTGATGTGAACACTGTGCATGTCGCCGGAATATTGTACTCACGGCCAATGAGATCCCTAAATCGAAATCATGTAAAACGTTATTAAAAGAAAAGAAATTAATGAATAGAAAATTTATTATTAAAAATTGATAATTAATGAGCAAAAATAAATTAACAAAATTTTATATATATATATATATATTTTATATATATATATATATATATATATATTTTATATATATATATTTTATATATATATATTTTATATATATATATATAGTATATAATATATATATGTATATAACGACAAATTGAGTGATAAACTTTTTAGTAATTTAATTGCATACGAACAGTTCAAATTAATAATAGAATTTTATATTTCTTCAATATTTTATTCAATTGCACTTACAATTAGACTTTATTCTAAGAGAATTGAATATTCAAATTTAATATTAAAAAAAAATGCAACATAAAATTTTAAAAAGTAATAGATAAAAAATATAGCATTTGATCTTAATTTAAAAAACACAGATTTTTCCAAGCACTTGTAGAAAATTTGTAGACGTTGGAAAACTGTATAATATAAGGATTATTTATATACTAGCGGAATAATTTGTATGTGTGTACGTGTGTGTGTGTGTTTGTTCATCATATATCTCAATGTATTGATGAAATCAATTTTTGATATAATACAAATTTATTATTAAATTTTATATTCTTAAATATTAAGTATAAAATGTTTTAAAATTTTATAATTTTGACTTGCATTCAAATTTTCTCATTAATTAAAAATTTACAGTCACAAAAATTACAGTTCTAAGTCAATGATCAGCTGTTGACGGATAAAATTTAAACAAAGACTAAAATAGAATATTGCGTTATCAAAAATAAATATAGATGAGCGATAAGATTAAAACGATGTATTTTTAATATTATATAGCGTGAACAATGTCTTTTATATTATATAGCACATTTATATAGAACATCTATCCTTAAATTCGTAGTAGTTCAAATATCTTTTCTATATAGATTGTTCTAAGAAAGCAGACGCAAACCAAAATCTCTCTTTCACATTTATTTATTTGTGTATATTATATAATGTGATTACTGAAATTACTTGAATAAAAATACTTAATTTTTCAATATATATAAACTTTATTTTCAGAATCATACCTTATTTTTAGAATATCTTTTCCTAAGCCATATCCTCGATAAGCGGGGTCTACACTAAGTCCGATAGCATACAAATACTTGTCTACTCCATAATGGTCGTATATTATTTTAGTTGCATCAGATATGATTGCGAATGTATTTTTGCAATTTAATGATTTCATCTGTAATAGAGAAGTTATTACTTGAATATATTATAATACAATCATATACGTTCCGATAATATATTTATTATTTTAATAGAAGAAAAAAATAAAAATGCTTTTCCATATAAAATTTTAAAGCAAAGAAACATTAACATATTTTTAGTGATTATTTAACACACACACACACACACACACACACACACACACACACACACACACACACACACACACACACACACACACATATAAAATAGAGCTGTTATGTAATGTATTAATATGGTGATTTACGAATAAAAAAATAAAAAAATTTATTATAAAAATAATTTTTTTTTCAACAAAATTATTAAAAATAAATATTTACCTTATACTCTGAAAGATCATTTTTATGGTTTTTGAAATCAACACCTAAGGCATTCATACCAGCGATTATAGGTTTCCCACCATTGGGATTTTCGGTAAAGGCAGCTATGGATATGCCTTCTGTGAGTAATAGGCGCCATATTGCACTTACATCTTGTACAAATATAGGATCATCTTTCGCATCTACAAATATAAACAAAAAATAAGTACAATATAAAACAAAACAATCATTTTATTTTGAGTTCGCATAAAAATATCATATATAAGTAACTACTTTATCATAGAGAAATATTATTTAATATTACTAAAAGATAACTTTCATAAGACTAATTTTTGTTAATTACAGTTTTTTTTTAATTTTAAATCTATGTAAAAATATTATAATGGAAGTAATATTATCAAAAAGTCAAGAAAGAAAAAACAATTAAACTTACTCAAACATTGACAAGTCGGTTCATCAGCCAAAAAATACGTGCACATATGTTTAACTGCATCTTCATATCTATCTTCAGGAATTTCCTGAATTGTAAATTTCGTTGATTTGCCATCATTGGTTACTTTTTCGATTGATCTCCAAATCTTGGATGGTTGGCCTGGTGGCTTAACACTCGGTAATTTTTCCATTGTTTTGTTTACATCCACTTCAATTCCTCCAATTATTTTTTTCGCAAATGTCCGTGTCGAACGGCATTTTATCCAAACGTCACGAAAACGGAAAATTTTCAACATTCGTTATGCAATAACTTTCGCGCGTTGTTTACAAGTCAACTACTGTCGATCGAGTGGCTTCAATTTAACATAACTAAAACATTATCGGTTCTTCGTTACACAAGCAAAAGACAACATAACAGATACACTGTAGCCTGTTATGAGTAAAGATATGTTATCATCTTTTCCGGTTATCTCATTTGTGCGTATTTTTTTACCTCGTTCCAATTACACTTGTTTTATTTTAAGAGTTTTATCTACATAGGACGGATGCTTGTAGTAGATAATATTATAATCATTCTAAGGAGAACAAAGAATATAAAAATAATAATAAGTTTACGTAGATATAAATATAAATATAAATTGTAATATAAGAAAAGGCTATAAAACAATTACAATAAAAAGTAAAATATAAAAATAATTTTATGCGTTACATTGTGATTTGTATAATTATTATATTGCATCATTGTATATTATATTTAATTATGTAAACAATATTCTGCATTTATAATTAATTATTACTACAATTAATATTATAAAAATTAATAGTTTATAAATGTATTTCCTGCGATAGTCAGCCTACTGCAGAGTATATTGTACTGCATATTAAAACTTTATCTATTTCTTATCTGCGTAACTCTTTTGTAAATATTAACATTAAATAATAACGTAATATATACAGGGTTCTAAAAAGATATGTCAAAAATTTAAAGAGATATTCCTAACACCTGAAGAATAAAAAAAGGTTATATGGACATAGGAAACGAAAATACTTATTTCATGAGTTATATTGAAAATACTGTTAGCTGTATTATTTACAAGGAAAAATTTAGGATTAATTATTGTAGATGACAGTCGTTTAATTAGGCTTATTTACATTTGATTTTAATGTGACCTTGAGTCTATTACAATAAATGTTGAAAATGAATTGATGATTAGACAAAACATGTACTTTATGCATGATAGGAGCTTCTCCTCATTTCAGCCGTATTAGTCGTGGTGATCGGTGGATAGGAAGAAGTGGACCTACTTTGTGGCCTCCACGTTCCCCGGATCTCAATCCGATAGACTTTTATTTGTGGGGATTTAAAGACAATCGTACATGCTACACCAGTGCGTGATATTCAAGATCTTCGTGACCGTAACTGCAGGTTGCGAGACAATCCGCTGTACGCCAGGCATTTTTGAACGTGTCCGTGAATCGATGAGTCGACGTATTACTTTTTGTATTCAGAAAAATGGTGAACATTTTCAACACTTATTGTAACATACTCAAGGTCACATTAAAATCAAATGTAAATAAGCCTAATTAAACGACTGTCATCTACAATAATTAATCCTAAATTTTTCTCGCCACGGATCGACTAGCTCGCTTAACGGGGCAGGGTCTATGAAAAAATTATTTGTTTTATACGAGGCTTTGAAAAATCCGAAAATCGACAAACACCACGGAATTTAACATTCACGAGAGGCGAACACTCAAATAAATTATGCGAACGTAATATCGAAACATATAACACATGTATTAGAAAGAAAATAACATAAGAAAAATAAAATAAAAGAAATAACAAATTAAAGGAAGAAAGAATAATAATAATAAATTAGGAAATTTGAAATAGCGAAATATATAACAGCTATTAATTCGACAGCGGTAATAATAATAAATCAGATGGATCGAATGTTCGCACGAAATTGATAACATAAGAAAGCGCTAAGTCATTCCTGATATTTATTCGAGCCCGTTTTTATATTTAGACTTTGCGAGATCAAACGACGTTTCGAAAATGTAACGGAATTTCGATACTCAAATCGTCGACTTATCGTACCGGTCTTTTCCCTGTAATCTTTGGCTCACTATTCTAATCGACAACAATATGCTCGGCAGAATGATTAATGATTGAACGAGAATAATTAATTAATTTGCAAAGACGGAAAATCTCGTTTGCGACAAGCACGGTCGATATACGAGAGTCGATCGCTACGCGTTTCACGACATCCCGAATTCCGGAGAGAGACGAACGGTTCCTTATCAACTACGGTTGCTGATGTTACGATCATCCTTGATCCTCGGTCGCTTGTCTCCGGTCGCGAAATACACGAAAATCGAAAGCTCGGTACAAAGCCCGAGCGACGAGACACGAAAATGGCGACGGCGACAGAGCGGTTGAAATCGCGTACGTGGCTCAAATTAGTGATAGGCAAGCTCACCGATACTTACTCCCGCGTCTAGGGGATGATCCACGGCTCGTCCTCGCCTTGATCTTGGTTGCGACTCACAATCAACGACAACGAAACAAAGCGACTATATGTTATGAGTGCCCACACCAGAGTGTCTCCCTGGATCTCGCGATCCAGGATCGATAGCGGTGTCCATCCTGCGCAGGGATGCGCGGGTTCGCGCCGCGACAACCCCGTATCGAGGGCCAGAATCGCCCCGAATAATTTAAAAATCTGTATTTCGGCGATCCGACTATCGGCGGTGTTCTTTTCAGCGATCGTTTGTTCTCCGTCCTCGGAGAGTAGCGCCGACCAGGTTCTGTTATCTCGGTCCAAGACAGCGGTTTCCTTAAAGATTTTCCTCCTCTTGCTGTTGAGGGCGAATTCCACCCGCGACTCCGCGCTGTCCTGATCCACGGGCGTTATCTCGGCTCAAAGGCTGGGAGCGCCGTGTCGGTTGTTGCAAAAAGATCCCTTTTCTTCTTCCTCCCGATGGCTTCTTTAGATTTTCTCCGGCGAGTTGCCCGACGTACAAAATAATATCAAAAAATTAATTAATAATGACGCGAATCTAACAATGGCTTGTCTCTCCAGAGATTTCGATACACAATCTTTTTCTGGCGCGCTCGGCTCGTGCCCCGTCAAGATTTCCGGGATGGATGGACGCGCGTCGGAACGTCACAATTTTATGTGTGTGTATTAAATGATAAATTAAGTAACAAACTTTTTAGCAATTTAATCGCATACAAGGAATGCAAATTAATAATAGAATTTTATATTTCTTTAATATCTCAATCAATTGCACTTAAAAATTCTCAACATTCGTTATGCAATAACTTCCGCGCGTTGTTCACAAGTCGACTACTGTCATTCGTGTGCGCTTCAATTTAACATATCTAAAGCATTACGAGTACTTTATTACATACAATCAAAAGACGTAACTGTCTATTATGTCTATTATGTTAATTACGTTAAATTGAAGCCACTCGAGTACCGACCAAAAATATATCCTGTTTCTGTTTTTCGAAGAAAACAATTCAAAGTGCATATATTTCTATCTAGTCACATATGTTTTAATAATAAGTATATAAGTTACTGTACAATAGACTTTTCATTCAATAATGAACATTGCAACTTAAAAAATTTAATTAAATATGTGCATTTTGAATCAGTTATCTTCAAAAAATATAAAGGTATACTTGGTGATATACTTTTAATCCTATACTGTAAAAACATATTATTATTTTTTCCAATTATCTCGTTTGTATGTGTTGTTTTTTTTATTCCATTCCGATTACACTTGTTTTATCTTACAATAACGTAATATATATATGTACACATATGTATTAATTTCATGATATATTATTTATTGACAATGCAGTTTAACAAAGATAATCTATTTTCGAATACAAGAAAAAGATTAATAGTTTCTCACAGTATTTTGATGCTATAAATACAAGTTTGGTGCTATAAATATACAAGTCTTTTTTGTTATGTTTTACAATTAATTAAAAATTGAAATTATCAATTAATAACTAATTAGAAATGCGAGGAACACAATAACAGTAATTATGAAATTATTTCATAAAGCGCATTACATGTTTGGTATAGAAAATAATATTTCTCTCATTCGGAACGATAACGAATCGTCCGGCGCACATAGCCACATAATGTATATCTGCCGTCTTATCATTCGAATGGATTTGAGCTAATAATAGAATAATAATGTAGAATAATATAGAAGATAATTCATATATCTTTTCCAATACGATAATTTCCTATAAATAATTAATGATTGTGAATAGCTCATATAATCAATTCCATGATTAAAGATTTCTTTAGATTTATATGAAAATAATAACAATTTATCGAACTAAATACTTTTTGCAATTTATTCGTTCGAAATAGAAATCGAAATAATAGAGTATTAGATTATATTATTTTACTTTCTTATATTTAAAAATCTTACATCACACGAATAACAACCGATCAACTAAATAGTAATTAATTTTTGATGCATTAGACATTTTAAGCATTCATCATCTATATTGTATAACTTTATAAAATGCATAATTATATCTTAGAATTTATTTTATAATTAAAAAAGCGAATTAAATAGCATTCGAGATTTATTTTATAAAAAACATATAAACAACACTTATTTCGTTTGCACATTTTATTATATTCATATCATTTATTTTTTAAAAGAGCTTAGTACAGATTATTATAATTATTTTAATAAAATTATTATTTAAAAGGAAACAAATGTATATAAATTCAAATTTAAATATATATATATATATATATATATATATATATATATATATGTATGAATGTGTGTGTGTGTGTGTGTGTGTGTGTGTGTATGTGTATTTTTTATTTTATGCTTCACGATGTATATATAAAAAATATATAGTTCATATATCGTAAAAATTATAAGAATTTTAAACGGCTCATAAATTTATAATAATTATATACTTTATTTCAGAAAATTAAATGACCCACTTTGTATAATTTTATGTAATTGTGCATTATTTTGAAAGCGCGGAATTAATTAAGATAATCTTTTTCCCAAAACTTCAAGCGTCTTAGAGTTAATACCGGGAAAGTATTGCTTTCCATTTTCATCCACTATGTCGATAAAATCTTGTGTTGTCAATAGTTCGAATCCTGCACTTTTCGCTGATTTTTGTGAGATTATTGATGTGAACGCTGTGCATGTCACCGGAATATTGTACTCATGGCCAATGAGATCCCTAAATCGAAATCATGTAAGACATTATTAAAAGAAAAGAAATTAATGAATAGAAAATTTATTATTAAAAATTGATAATTAATGAGTAAAAATAAATTAACAAAATTTTATATATATATATATATATATATATATATATATATATATAACGACAAATTGAGTGATAAACTTTTTAATAATTTAATTGCATATGAACAGTGCAAATTAATAATAGAATTTTATATTTCTTCAATATTTTATTCAATTGCACTTACAATTAGACTTTATTCTAATACAATTGAATATTCAAATTTAATATTTAAAAAAATGCAACATAGAATTTTAAAAAGTAATAAAGACAGTCTTTCTCTGTGTGTTGATGGAGACGGTTGACATGGCAATCTTGACGAAGTGATTTCCTTATTTCTCACGATAAAATAGTTAACTAAATTATTTTCACTCGAAAAGGACCAAAACCATGGTCAAAACGTCGTGATTTACTTCAATAAAAATTTGCCAGTGTGGTCGTTAATTACTTCTTGTATTTATCCTTAAGTTCATAGTAGTTCAAATATCTTTTCTATATAGATGTTCTAAGAAAGCAGATGCAAACCAAAATCTCTCTTTCACATTTATTTATTTGTATATTATATAATGAAATTACTTGAATGAAAATACTTAATTTTTCAACATATATAAACTTTATTTTCAGAATCATACCTTATTTTTAGAATATCTTTTCCTAGGCCATATCCTCGATAAACGGGGTCTACACTAAGTCCGATAGCATTCAAATACTTGTCTACTCCATAATGTTCATATACTATTTTTGTTGCATCAGATATGATTGCGAATAAATTTTTGCAGTTTAATGATTTAAACTGTAATAGAGAAGTTATTACTTGAATATATTATAATGCAATTATATACATTCCGATAATATATTTATTATTTTAATAGAAGAAAAAAATAAAAATGCTTTTCCATATAAAATTTTAAAGCAAAAAAACATTAACATATTTTTAGTGATTATTTATAGATGATTAACATATACAAATATATATATATATATATATATATATATATATATATATAATAGAGCTGTTATGTAATGGATTAATATGGTGATTTACGAATAAAAAGATAAAAAAATTTATTATAAAAATAATTTTTTTTTCAACAAAATTAATAAAAATAAATATTTACCTCATACTCTGAAAGATTATTTTTATGGTTTTTGAAATCAACACCCAAGGCATTCATACCAGCGATTATAGGTTTCCCGCCATTGGGATTTTCGGTAAAGGCAGCTATGGATATGCCTTCTGTGAGTAATAGGCGCCATATTGCACTTACATCTTGTACAAATATAGGATCATCTTTCGCATCTACAAATATAAACAAAAAATAAATACAATAAAAAACAAAACAATCATTTTATTTTGAATTCGCATATCATAAGTAACTAATTTATCATAGAGAAGTATTATTTAATATCACTAAAAGATAACTTTCATAAGACTAATTTTTCTTAATTACAGTTTTTTTTTAAATTTTAAATCTATGTAAAAATATTATAATGGAAGTAATATTATCAAAAAGTTAAGAAAAAAAAAACCAATTAAACTTACTCAAACATTGACAAGTCGGTTCATCAGCCAAAAAATACGTGCACATATGTTGAACTGCATCTTCATATCTATCTTCAGGAATTTCCTGAATCGTAAATTTCGTTGATTTCCTATCATTGGTTATTTTTTCGATTGATTTCCAAATCTTGGGTGGTTGGCCTGGTGGCTTAACACTCGGTAATTTTTCCATTGTTTTGTTTACGTCTACTTCAATTCCTCCAATAATTTTTTTCGCATATGTCCGGGTCGAATGACATTTAATCCAAACGTCACGAAAACTTTCAATATTCGTTATGCAATAACTTCCGCGCGTTGTTTACAAGTCGACTACTGTCACTCGAGTGGCTTCAATAGTAATAAGGTATCTAAAGATATCTAAAGCATGACGAGTACTTTATTACATACAATCAACTGTCTATTATATCTATTATGTTAGTTACGTTCAATTGAAGCCACTCGAGTATCGGCCAAAAATATATCTCGTTTATGTTTTTCGAAAAAAACTTAATTCAAAGTGCATATATTTCTATCTAGTCACATATGTTTTAATAATAGATATATAAGTTACTGAACAATAGACTTTTCATTCAATAATGAACATTGCAACTTAAAAAAAATTAATTAAATATAGGCATTTTGAATTAGTTATCTTCAAAAAATATAAAGGTGATATTTCAATCCTGTACTGTAAAAACATGTTATCATTTTTTCTAATTATCTCGTTTGTATGTGTTGTTTTTTTTTTATTCCATTCCGATTACACTTGTTTTTATCTTACAATTAGGAGTATATAGTGCAGATGCCTATAGTAGATAGTATACTACAATCATTCTAATAATTTCAAAGAGTTTCTAATAATTGCAAAGATTATAAAAATAATAATAAGTTAGATATAAATATAAATATAAATTGTAATACAAGAAAAGACTATGTTACAATAAAAAGTAAAATATAAAAATAATTTTATGCGTTAGATTGTGATTTATACATATTATTATATTGCATAATTTTAGATTTAATTACGTAAACAATATTCTGTTTTATAATTAATTATTACTACAATTAATATTATAATAATTAATAGTTTATAAATATATTTCCTGCGATAATCAACCTACATGTACTGTGTAGAAAATATTGGAACTTTACTCATTTCTTATCTATGTGTAAGACACATTTCTTATCTATGTGTTTTCTATGTTTTTTAAATAAATATTAACATTATCAGATAATAACGTAATATATATATGTACATATATGTATTACTTTCGTGATATATTATTTATTAACAATACATATGTATTAATTTTGTGATATATTATTTATTAACAATACAGTTTAACAAAGATAATCTATTTTCGAATACAGGAAAAAAATTAACCGTTTCTTACAGTATTTTGATGCTATAAATACAAGTTTGGTGCTATAAATATACAAGTCTTTTTTGTTACGTTATACAATCAATTAAAAATTGAAATTAACAATTAATAACTAATTAGAAACGCCAGGAACACAATAACAGTAATTATGAAATTATCTCATAAAGCGCATGTTTGGTATAGAAAATAATATTTCTCTTATTCGGAGTAATAACGAATCGTCCGGCGCACATAGCCATATATGTGCATATCTGCCGTCATATCATTTGAACGGATTTGAGCTAATAATAGTAGAAGATACTTCATGTATCTTTTCCAACGCGATAATTTCCTATAAATAATTAATAATTGTGAATATAGCTCATATAATCAATTCCATGATTACAGATTTCTATAGATTTATATGAAAGTAATAATAATTTACCGAACTAAATACTTTTTGCAATTTATTCGTTCGAAATAAAAATCGAAATAATACAGTATTAGATTATAATATTATTTTACTTTCCTGTATTTAAATATAATCTTACATCACACGAATAACAACCGATCAACTAAATAATAATTAATTTTTGATGCATTAGACATTTTAAGCATTTATATATAATTTTATAAAATGCATAATTATATCTTAGAATTTATTTTATAATTAAAAAACCAAATTAAATAGCATTCGAGATTTATTTTATACAAAACATATATAAAGGACACTTATTTCGTTTGCACATTTTATTATATTCATATCATTTATTTTTTAAAAGAGTTTAGTACAGATAATTATAATCATTTTAATAAAATTATTATTTAAAAGGAAACAAATGTATATAAATTTAAATTTAAATATATATATAAATTGTTTATATAAACTTAAATAATATTATACATATGTTAAAAACTAGTAAAATGTAAAAATATATAGTTAAATATGTGTATTTAATTTAATGTGCATATAGCCATCAAATGTGAATAATTACTTACGTTACTACCATTACTTGTTTCATTATTCGTTATTACATAATTAATTCATCTAACTTTCGAACAATTTTTAAAAATTTACTAGATTGAAAAATTTTTTCAAATACTAATCTAAAATCAATACAAGTTATTATAATCTTTTAAAATGCAAAATGGAATTATATTATAAGAGGAAATAATGCATTTGTATGTGTATTTAATAGACAGAAAATGATCTTTATTATTTATAGTTTTAAATGGATATTATATGTATAGTATCATTATATAACACATAACAGTTATATATATGTGTAGATATATGCATTTATAATATATAAATATTGATAGTATTCTATCTAGGATACGGTCAAGACTGCACTATGAATGCTCCGAAACATCATTTTATCTTTATTCTCATGGAATTTAGAACAAAGATAGAATGTTTCAAGGTACCCAGATCGTTCTCTCGACCGCAGCCGTAGTAAAATCTGTATTAAAGTCATAATCATCTGAATTAAATTTGAAGTCTTCAAGTTTTCCCGCTAGTTTAGCAGTGGCTTTTTCTGAAAATCAATGATATTTATAAGTTAATATTAATTTAATTAAGTTAATATTAAACATTTAGATTACAAACTCTTCTCTCCTTCTCATTCTTCTCATACCTCTCTTTGCTCGTTCTTTTTTTTGTTTTTTGAATTCAAGTTTCCTGAGCTTATTCAATTTTTGATTGCCTTCAATCTCAAAAAGTGGATCTAGTTTCTCCTTTTTCTCAGCAGCTACATCTTTTTTTGTATTCTGTAATTTTTTCTTTAATTTTTTCTGTACTCTAAATTCCTATAAGAAAATATCGATTAATTATTACAAAATAAATTCAATAAAATATAAATTACAAAAAAATATAAAATAATATAACAGTAATGTAATATTAAATTATATATTTATATCTTACCAATTCTTGTTGGATTTCGACCTCCATTGCTGTGACAGATTTCGAACTATCAATTAGTACAGGATCTGTGATAGTGGAATTATTTGTGGAATTTGTAAAATTATCAAGCATCATTTTTTCCTCTGCGGCAAAACTTTCAATGTCAAATTCTTTAGCTACTTGACTAACAATCTCAGCAGATATATGGCATACTGGTTGTTCGGGTGGCACTGTATAATACCTACAAAGATTTTAATCGTATAAAAAATAGAATATATATGGTTGTGCATATGTATATAAAACATAACAAACCTAATTTTGCCCGAGTTCCAATCTTCAAGAATACTTCGTGCGGCAGCAATAGCATCAGGTACTCCACCCTTCCTATATTTTCCCATCTTTGCCGCTTTCATCGCAAAAAACTCATCCGGCGTTGAAAACTCTTGCATATTATATAATTCCATTATCTGTTGTCGTGAAACTCTTTTTAAAATTGCTGTCGCCGGTGTGAAAGGGTCTTTCAATGCTTGAATCTTTACTGCATTTTTTAGAGCTACAGATGTATCATCAGATTTTTCATCAGATGTAGCAAATATTATACCGGGAGAATCTAACAGCTTAATTTTAGAATCTAATTGAACAATTTGCATTGTCTTTGTTATTCCTGAAAGTAATTGTAAATAGTTAAATCGATAATATATGTGTATATATAATATATTACTAATATATGCAATCCAAAATCATTGTAAAATGTTTTATGTAATTTAGACATAAATATAAAAAGAATTCGGGGAAAAAATAAATTAATTTAACAAAAATACAATAATCCAGATAAACCATAAAGATTAGAAAGAATATCCAATTGATTCAAAAACTGTTTACAATAAAAATAATGAAATACCTGGAACATTTCCCACATTACATGCTTTGCTGCGTTTCAAAGAATTAATAACGCTAGATTTTCCTACATTTGGAAGGCCAACAACTCCAACTGTAATACTTGTTTTAACATTGCTATTGTTTCTGCAATAATTTCCAAGTAATGACAAAAGTAATTCTGCGCCAAAACATGTGTTGCTTTGTATCATGGACTCTGTTTTTCTTCCTAATTTTCTCCTGCCTAATCGATTTGCTTGATTTTGTGTGGACGATTTAAATGCCACAGCCGGTAAACTAGCTCTCAAGTATTTTAACCATTGGTCTAAATTTTCTCTAGGAATCAAATCTGCTTTGTTTAAAACTAGTACCAATCTTTTATTTGCAGACTGAACTGCTTCTTCTACCTATAACAAAATAATTAAATAATAATGTATAAATACAAATATATACATATACATATATATATATCTTATAATAGTTTTGGAAATTTACCTCTTTACATCGTGTTCCCAATGGATCACGAGCATCCATAACTTCAAGAATAACATCAGCTGCATCCAAAACCTTTTTGAATTCCTTATAATATGCTTTAAGTGAGTTTTCTTCCTTAGTAACAGCACTTTTTATTTGATTTTGAGCAGAATCTACTTCCATGGATTCATGTGCTAACTGCTTATTCTGAGCTTCATTAACCAAACCTTGAAGATCACCCTTAGCAAGTTGTTCACGTTTCTTTCCACGTGCAGCTTCCTTCTGTTTCCGTTTTTCTTCTTCTTGATGTTTTCTCATTATCTCTATTTCCTTTAATATATCCTCCTTGAAAGGACATTGATTCGGTATTTGCATCATCTTGGATTTTTCTGGTTAAAAATAAAAAATTATAGTTATTAAACAATTATAAATACAAACATACATATTTGAAATTAGTTTATTAACTTACTTTTAGAATGTTTGGCCTCTTTCCTCATTTTTCGATTATGTTCGCGGACTTTTTTTTCGATTTTATATCTCTTTCGCGCTGGCATGCGCTTGCTTGGTTTATCTAATAATTATAATAAAAATATTAAAAGAAGTAAGAAATTTTTTTAAAATTGCGTTCTAATATATTAAACTTTAAAAAAGATAATAATAAATTCGCATTATACAATATTTATATACATTTCATCATTTATATACATTTCACTAATTGTTATCAATTATTAGGTTAAGATTAATATAAAATCGCAATATAAAAAAATTTTACTGTACAAATTACATATATAATTTCTAGATTCTTATTCTTTTACGAAATACGTAAGATTTTAAGTTTTTAACAATACATTTTTCAATGATAACTTACTGCGAAGTTTCATCCTTATGCGTTGTTAATTATACTTATGTGCACGTGGTTAGATTGGATGCATAGGTATAGGTTAGGCACATTTAAAGAAATAGGTTCGGGAACAGAGTGTCAAACAAGATGTCAAAAAAGTTACTAGATTTACTAATTTACTAGATTTTTCAAATTTTTTTTACGTTCGATATAATTTGAAAAATTTTATAAATTTTTGCAAGATTTTTATTCGAAAATTTCCGCGAGAAATGTATTCATTAAGATTCTATTTTTTGAGTTCCGCGCTTTGGGGAAATTCATCCTTTCCACTTTTTCTTAGGTCGAATGCGGAATGGCATCAACCGAATGGCAATTATCGTTTCGGACGGTGAAAGGCACGCTTATATGCATACAGGGATTCGCACACTTTCATTTTGTCTTATAAGAGCCGTTCGTTTGATGAAATAGAGACAAGGAGATGTCTTGGTGGCTGCAGAACGGAATAGAAATTCTCGTAAATTATTTCACGCGCCTCGTGAAACGACTCTTACTCGCGACTTCCAAGTCGCGAGGGAGAGAATATAATACGGATTTCTCTAATCTCGTTTCCCACACATTGTATCGTTCTGTAATATTATCGTTACCGTTTCGTTATATTTTATTCGAACAAATAATATAATTTTCTCATTTTTATTTCTGACTTATGATTATATATATATATATATATATATATATATATATATATATATATATAATTGAATTAATATAGAAGACTAATAATTAATAAAGGATAATAAAAATAGAAAATGTATGTTGGGAAATATGCAATGTCAGAAATAAAAAAGAGAAAGTTATGTTATTTGTTTGAGTAAAATTTAAAACGGACAATAATAATAATAAAATTGATGAAAATTAAAAAACTGATATATATCTTCCATATTTAGTTCGTATTTAAATTTCAAATATTCGAAACTTCGATTGAAGTAAATGATTAAACACGAATATTGAATAGAAAATGTTTTATTTTTAATACATTATTTCAATATTTAAATTGCTTCGAATTCTTCCACGGTTCTAATCTGAATATATATTCGCAAATAAATACATGTATTTGAAACCGGATAAATGGATTCAATTTTGCGGATAAAATTCCTTTTTTCACATTTATAAAAACTAATTATGAAAACTGACTGAATCATGAAAACATTGTTATTCCTTTACCGAGTGTTTAAAACGAACGTTCGAAATTGGCGCGTATTTTCCCTCCGCGAACGATGGCTCGAACGGATGGGGGTCGAATCGACGGCGAGGGGATAAGCGGCGCGGTGCGGTGGAGGGGGGGACGAGCGATTCGGGCTACCGTCGAGCGGTGGCGCTTGCGCGTCCGTCACGGCGACTCATTCCCGTAATGGCCGCCGTCTGGTGTTGTCAGTGAGTGTGCGAGTACCTGTCGGGAGCGGTTGCGTTTACGACGTCGGATAGCGTTCGAGGTAGTCGCGGTAGTTCGGGTGAAACGAGACCGGTGACAGTCTGAGTGTGACGCGAGTGCGCGATGTGCCGTGTCGTGTCGTGTCGCGGCTGATTCGCGCCAGCGGCGATTTAAAAGCGAGCGACTGGATTTCGTACATAGTGGTGTGTGCTACCCTTCTCTCTTCTGCCCTTCTCCCCCTCTCTCTCTCTCTCTCTTACAAACTTTTCTCCCGTTTCTCCCCTTTTATTTCTCTCCCCCGTCCGTCCGTCCGTCCGTCTGTTTACCCGAAGCATCGACCGCGACGAGTGTCAACGACTCGTCCGAAAATCGGTGCGTCGATCTGTCGTCTCTCTCTTTGTATATCTATATCTGTCCTGTCTTTTCGCGAGCGCGAGATGAGACGCCGCTGATGCAACGGCGTCGTCGCCGGGCTTCCTCGCCGAGAGATGATAAACACGTCGAGTAACAGCGCGCGCGAGTGAAGAGAGACGACCGTTTGTTTTTTTCCCTTTCTTTTTCTTTTCGGTTTGTCGATAGTCGATCCGATAGACGAGAAACAAGAGTCGCTGCGGGGCCGCGGGTCCCGAATTCTTCCTCACGTGGTTCAAGGTCATTCTAAAAGCATCCGGACGTCACGAGCGCGGACGGTACAAAGTGACGCTTTCCGCGCGAAAGAGCTGTCGGCGACCGTATGGCAAGACTTTTCTGACTGGTGTTTTCGTCTCAACCCCCTGGAACACCCCGCGCAAGCTTCCTCGGACGTGACGACACCAAGTGTTGCAACGTCCGATATCCGATGCACCGTAAGTACCATTTGATTCGTGAGTCCCTCTGATTCTTTGATTAATTTGCGCCTTCAATATTACCTTGTTTAGATCGATTCTTCTCCTCTAAATTAAACGAAACGTTAACAGTAGTTTTGAATTCGTTGGAAAAGTGAGAGATTTCTGACAAATTCACTTCCTCGAGAAATGAAACAGAGGATTTTTTTATCTCATCATTGTTGACATCTCTCGACATTTCGATGATTTTTTGATAAATCGAGCGCTTATTACAACTTTTTATATTATTTACGTGTTACTTTTTATATTATTTATATATTATTTTTTATATTATTTACGTATTATTTTAGATTTCTGACAAATTAACTTCCTCGAGAAATAAAACAGAGGATTTTTTTATCGCATCATTGTTGATATCTCTTGACATTTCGATGATTTTTTGACAAATCGAGCGCTTATTACAACTTTTTATATTATTTACATGTTATTATATTTTAGATTTCTGACAAATTAACTTCTTCGAGAAATAAAACAGAGGATTTTTTATCGCATCATTGTTGACATCTCTTGACATTTCGATAATTTTTTGATAAATGGAGCGCTTATTACAACTATTTATATTATTTACATCTTCTTAATTTAGATATTAAATTAAAATTATTAATATAAAATTTAGTTAAAATTAATTGAAAAAATATATTTCTTTGCTTTTTTAAACCTTCATTTCTGATATTTCAAATTATTTTATTATCACTTTTAATTATACAAAATTCATTAATATGTAATCATTTTTGTTGAGGAAGATTTCAAATTAGCTACAAAATTTCATACACATATTACATCATTACATATCATATAAATGCAATTGTAATAATATTTCATGTTTTATGTTATTGTTGTGAATTTCAATTATCTTAAATCAATATTGTATAACGAATATATAAATAAAATATAAAAATTGCTGACGGGACATAATACATTTTAAGTTAGTGTAAATTTGTATAACAAAATGTTATAAAATTAACTTCAATGTTATGCTCTCATTTAAATCAACATCATATTCGTGACAATATAATCATTGTAACGTGGATAAAATTTAAATCATGCAATAAAAACGATGCATAGAGCAATTATGAAATTACGAAACAAGTAAACAACAAAGTAATCAACGGTAATTAACAATAAATGGCAGTTTAATTTTGTCTCATCCGATTATAATTGCTCTTTTTTTTACAAAAACTCGTAATTTTCATGCAATGTTAATTAAAATTTCAAGATATATAATAACTAATTGCAAGATTTACAAGATAAAAAAAATCTCTAAAAGATAATTTCATTTTGTTCAATGTCGAATTTATAAAATTATTAATTATTTTATTGAAAATACTAGGCAATAAAATATTTACTTTGCGAGAAATTGACGTGTGCTATTTAGTATTATTGTGAAATATTACAATATTCTTGTTAATAGCAATTTATAATTTATTATTCCCGTTACTTGTTACGTTCTTCAATAAATGTCAGATGCGAGAAAAAATAGGAAAATGTCGATGTCAATCTATGATCAATCAATCTGCATGATGTTTATTGCGTGTGAAAATATGATTATTTGCCACACGAATGGAGGAGAAACTTCAGTGATTTATAATTTATTATACATCTTAATTTAAAAATTCAAACTGTTAACCTTTTTAAAAAAAAAAGTTGACCTTAAAACTCGACTTGTGTAAAAAGAACATCATGAGAAGTTCTACAAAATATTGAAAAAAATAAGCAAGCATGACTTCTAGTTGTCATAGATGCGTATATTAAACCTTGCGTACGCATCTTTCTTAAAACGTCAGTGTTCGCCAGAGTTTTCGACGCTCGTCAATCACCGATCGCATGCAACTTTATTTCAGGAAGATCTGAATCAGCCCGCGAGAAGTCGTCCGCCGACGACGAGGAGAGAGGAGCCGTGCCAAGTTCTGGTGCCGCGGTCTTCCTACGCTTCGCTTCGAATCCGTGACGTTATCCTGGATCGCATTGCACGTCTCTTCGAGGATAACGTTCATCCGTGATCGACCGACTGTGATTTCAACGTGTGACGCCACTGCCAAAAAGGATACAAACTTGCATCGATCGCGAACTTGCGCTTTCGTCTTCGCTTCCTTCGCCTTCCAGTATCTTCGTCGAGGACGAAGTCTTCCACGTTGTACCAGAAAGTATATTTCATCGTCTTACACCGAAAACCCTCTATGTCTTCCGCGGATTTCCACGTCCTTAATCGGCCAAGAAAAGGACTCTCGACTTCCTCAAACTTCGTTTGAAGTACACAAGAAAATAAAGAAGGTGCGATTCTTCTGCCGCTACGACATCGAGTTCCTCGAGGATGTCTCTTGACTAGAGATCTCGATTTGTTGACTTCATATCACGTTAATCTTGATCATCTGTGCACCTTGCTTCTATCATCTGAACACGCTCGAAGCATCCTGGTGTCTTCGTTTGCGGCCATCGACAGTCTAGAATTTTTCTCATCACTCGGATACGGCAGGACGACGCCGTGACGACCGAGATCGAGGGGCACATCTTCGAGCCGGCTGCGTGTGATGCGTCGCACGCAGGGCCGCCGCTGCTGCTGCCGTTTCGCGTCAGCTTGCGCGACCGTCTCGTCGCAATAACGGCGAAGATGTTCGGGAAGGTGCCGCCGTCGAACACGCCGGGTCCGCCTAATAATAACGGCGGTCAGACGTCAGCTAAACCGTGCGTCAGACTGACGACGACGATGACAACGACGAGCACGGCGTCGTGTTTGCCGTGCTTCTCGACGGAGGAGACGTCGACGTTGGGTGTCGATGATAAAGCGAGATTCTGGCGACCGACGAAGGACAACACCGACGACTCTGTCGCGGTTGTCTCCGAAGCTCCTTGCAATTCTCTCCAACCGTTCACGGACACCTCACCCGTCACAGAGCTTCCTAGATCCTGCAGGACCGACCCGACGACAACGATGATCTGCGTCACCGCTTGTTCCAAGACCTCGGCCAAGTGTTCGCCCAAGGAAGCAGCGTCACAGATTGGCAGGAATCACGCCAATGCGATGCAAAAGTGCACCTCCAGTCAGAACTGTGCGAATTTCCTGAAGGAAATCCGAAAGGCCGGTAGATCGCGGAGACCGCAATCCGCCTCGACTGGTAGTCTCAATGTCGAGTCGTGTACAAGAGACTGTACAAAAACTGTGAAGAAGATTGTTGCCATTGGTCGAGAGCCTTCGAGCGGCAAAGAGCAGCAGACAGCTGGCGACAGAACGACGTACAACGAGCAGCAATCCAAATGCTTTCAGGCCAAGTTACCCTCCGGGACGTCTTCCGAAATGATGAACCAACCACCAGGCGAAAAGAAATCTAACGAGGATCTCCTGGTGGACACATCCGCGAGTTATTCCTCAAACAGTGCATCTAACGTGTCGACTGTAAGCGAGTTGTTGTATGTGCATCAAAAGCCGGCGCCGAGGATAGTCGACGTAAAAGATGGCGCCGGCGATTCTACGATCACCACCGCAACCTGCGAAGACGACTCCTGCGTCAGTGACTTCGTCACCTCGACGCCGGCCAAGGATTGGACGTCTAGGAAGGTCAGCAGCGATGCGTTGCAGAATTGCGTGGCCTGTGCGCCGCAGGATCTCCCCACGGAGCTGCAGTCGTCCACGTCCTTGAGGAACTACAAGGAGAAGTGTCGCGATCTGTCTTGGCGACCCACGGAGATGACGGAGAGCGCGATACATGGATTGACAATATGTTCGGGCGAGACGTTTCAGGATACGAGCTCCAAGAGACGCACCGGGGCATCCTGTCAGGCGCTCAGGCACGCCGTCGCCTCGTTAAATCGTCTGGACGACTTTTACATGGAGAAAATTGGCGCGGGCTTCTTCTCCGAGGTTTACAAGGTAAGACGGTAGTTAATTAAACAAAATATACGCGATAAGAAAATATATGGAAACAAAAATGAACGATTGACATGATGCGGAATAAATATTAAGAAATTTACATTAAAATATCGTTGAAATATTTCTGCGACTTAATGTAAAATTTATTTAATGCGATAGATATGAAACGCACGATATACGCTTGTGAAGCTTGTATAGAGTATATTACATTATACAGAGGCATTACGCATATGTAAAGGACGCGTTCCATTTTGAGTTTCTATTAAATTTTGCTTTAAATTACAAATGTTTTATTAGTACTTTTGTGTATAGTATAAATAATAATTTTTTCTTTTAATGTGTAAGTGAAATAATCATATTCACACCTATCGAGACAAAATATATGCAATAAGAAAATATATTGAAACAAAAATGAACGATTGACATGATGCGGAATAAATATTAAGAAATTTACATTAGAATATCGTTGAAATATTTCTGCAACTTAATGTAAAATTTATTTAATGCAATAGATATGAAACGCACGATATATGCTTGTGAAGCTTGTATAGAGTATATTACATTATACAGAGGCATTATGCGCATATGTAAGGGACGCGTTCCATTTTGAATTTCTATCGCATTAAATTTTGCTTTAAATTACAAATGTTTTATTAGTACTTTTGTGTATAGTATAAATAATAATTTTTTCTTTTAATGTGTAAGTGAAATAATTATATTTACACTTATCGAAATCCAAACATTTAGTTTAAAAACTTATTTAATTTATAATAAACAACGCTATACCACTATCATGCAAAAATATGAGCTATATTTTATCTAAAATAATTATCTAAATATAATTATCTAAAATAATTAACTAAATATAATTATCTATTAATATTTGCATAATTCAATTGATATAAAATTCAAAATATTGTGCAACTTAGATTTTTTCGTATTTAATAAGCATGTTATTAAAAAATTTATTAAAATAATCATTTAGTCGAAACGTGCCATTTTTATTTCATTAGAAAGATATAAATAAAAATTGAAAATGCGCTATTAGATGTTTCGAAAAATATTTTTGAATTCATTAGCAATTCATTAGAAACTTTTTCCCGGATGGCACGCGCTTCCTCTTAATTCCCGCTATTGTTCCTAAACAACAATCGCTTATTTGAAACGGACGTTCTCCGGACGTATCTCGTTTTATGAAATATGCTATCTTAGCAGATTGATATCTCGACAGAGATTAGATACGCTCGCTATCACGCAAACGCATAGTTTCGTGAAATTAATTCTCGTAATCGCGCCGTTACTCGCCGATAATGAGTGATTAGGAACATTTTTTTGCCACATACGGCTTTCCAGAGAGACCTTTACTATATTAATTCTCCACACATTCATTAGAATTCGCGTTTTCTTTGATTCTTAAGTCATTATATGATGTTGATTACTTGCGAAACGAAAGAAAATCGCGGAAGAGGATGTTTTCCAATCCATTATTCACCGATTCTAAATTATACGAGCGATGGATAATTAATGCAATACAGAATTAACATAAGATAAAGATAATACAAGTATTTACTACGTGAATATTGAGGTGAAAGAATGTTAATAAAATACTTGATAAAATCGCGACCAAAAAGGAAAGATCCATTTTGTCCCGAAAGCGTGAAATTCTATTGAATATTAATCGTGAAAAGTAAAATATATTATAGAAAACGTTTCTCATCAACAGGCTCTAAATTGCAATGCTAGATAATAAAAAAACTTGTTCATAGTTGAAAAAATATGAAAAGTATAACTTCTTTGGATGCAATGCAATATCTCCCTATCATAATGCACTTTTCTGTCAAATTTCATGGTCACGTATTGTACGCATTTTCGTTTGTGAATGCAGAAGATGTTGCGACTTCAGAATAGTGTCACGGCAGCTTACGTAAATCATTGTTTTATTCATTTTGTTCATTTTGTTCACAGCAGGAGCACGTAATTATCGAAGGATCTTATCCTTGACTTTATTTTTCTTGAGCGTGATTTTAGAGCTCAAAATTTATATATATAATTTCATCTAACAAATTTCATTTAATTAATCTAACGCTAAAGTAAAAAATATATATTTTTTTAAGTAATTGATGTAAAATTGTGAAAAGATAGATATCTCAATTATTTAAATATTTATTAGGATTTCACAAGGAGAAGAGAATTAGGAGACAACATTTGTTGCAGAAATATTTCGGCGTCAAATCCATAAAAATTATATATCTTTATAAAAAGGGAAGGAAAGAAATATTTCTCGAATATAAAACGAAATAAATATAAATAGACACAACAATATATTATATACACCAATTAGGATTAAATAAGCAGCCTTGTAAAGCACGAAATAAACAAATCATATCGCTCTTGCGTGTTTTGAATGTAATAGGGACTCGGCTCGTGCCGATTCGAGATAGTATCGTGTAGCAATTTTGCGGGAATCGATCGAAATTTGCCGTGTCGAGCGCGTGATGCCGCATTTTGCAGAGGAGAGATTTATATGCACGTGTCTCTCTATCGATCTATCTATACCACGCGCGACGGTGGTCGGCAAAAGTGGCCGGAAAGCTGCCCTAGTTTCCCGATATTCCTTTCATGCGATCTGCAATTTTGCGCATTCGCAGGTCCGCGATTACGGGAGATGCGCGACTCCTTGAACTACCTGTTCATCAGAAATCAGTCGAGCAGTCCGGGACCTTGAAAAGTATGCCGCGGCTTCTCCGACGCGTTATAAATAGGTCAACAGGAAATTGAGCACGTAGTGACTGCGGTGATTCCTCCGGCGCAGCGGTGCGCAAAACATCGCAGAATACTTCTCCTTGCAAATAACTTTTCTTACACTGTATTCTTACCAAGTATTCTGCGTTCTCGGTGAAAGTCAATATGAAATTAAATTAAATTAAATTAAATTAAATTAAATTAAATTTGATTTAGTAAGCGAATGATTTCTTTCTTTTTCGCGAGAAAAAGATCTTAGTTTTGCAGCATTCCAATAACGTAGAATAATTTCTTTTTTTTTTCTGCTTGTTAATTACTAAGGATAATATTTCTCTGTTTCGTCAGACGATGAATAGCGCGCCTCTACTTAAGCGCATTAGCAAGACTCGTTTAAAAATAAACCGATGGTATTCTCGATATTATCGCGAATGAGATCGACGATATTCTGTTTCTGCCGTCAAATATACCGACGATAAAGGCAACTTTTATTTGCAATTTTCTAAATATGGTTAAAAGTATGAAAATTAAAAATATATTTTGACTATATGGAGATTGTTACATTTTGCTGATGTACTTGTTCTATTTATACAAGGCATGTATAGATTTTGAAGAATATTTAACAATTTCAAATTGAAAAAGGATAAAGTTCGATATCATCTTGTTTGTCAAAATCTACTGTTTTTGTATTAGGTGTTAATTATTCAATTAATTTATAAAATATAAAACCAAAAGCTCATTCAAGTAATATAATATAACGTTTAATATTTAAATGTGATAATTTAAATTTAATTACATAGAAAATGTATTGAAAAATGTATGTGTTTTTGTAATTTTGTCTTTTTCTTATTTTAACTTATTAAATTTATGATTAAACTCTTTCATGATTTAATAACAAGAAATCTGTAAAGAAATACAGGCGTTATGAGAATTTTGCATGAGCAAAATGCATAAGCATTATGAAAAAATAAATTATTATAATTATAATAAAATTGAAACACACACCTTGAAAAAATTCAAAAACAGTTGATGTAAGATTACTGGGATGGGAGATTCAGATTCGTGCATTCTTGGCATGATAAATCAATTACCGTGCCAAGAGTTTCGAGCAAGTACTTCAATTTTCTAGTCAAGCATAAGATTACATGCTTTAATTATAAATTAAGAAAAAATTTGCTTGCAAAATCTGTTTCAGTGAAATCTAAAATTTTAAAAAATCTGAAGTAACATCATCGCCAAGATTACACTTTAATAGATTTTCATGAAAAATAAAAAAGTTATATATGAAAGATTATAAGCTTGAAATAAAGTATATATTTCATCGGGAAATAAAATACATTTTTAGACAAGATAAATTTGAAAAAGATTTATCGAAATATATATTGCAAATCTTAGTAAATCATTTATTTTAATGATCTTTTTTTAATGAGCTTTTAATGAAATCTTAGTAAATGATTTATTTTAAAATATTACATATGACGACATGTTTCGTATGTAATGATTATTTATATATATTCTCTCTCTCAACAACTTATGTTATATCTTATATTCTCTCTTTAATGAACATTAGAAACATACAAAACATATCTTCATATTCAAATAAATCGATTAAACTGCTATTTTATGCTTCGATTTTCTACTAAATTTTTCTGATTATATTTCCACAACTTATGAAATTTCACAGAATTTGGCGTAATGTCAAAAATCTTATAACAAGTAATTGTTATTACTGTTCCCACGAGAATTGTTGTAGGTAAATAAAATAAATAATTTCTTATTTTCACTGATCAAGTATTAGAAACCTAAAGCCTGAAATTTTTTTACATATAATTGATTAATTACGCGCCTTGAATTTTTAGAATCATATTTAAGTACTATTAAAATATTAGTATTAAATACAATGTATTAGTCATATTAAAAAATAATTATATTGAAATCGTATTGCAACAATAGAAATTTATTTGAGATATAAAATATACTAATGTATCTTAAAAAAATTAATAATAATTAATAAAAAAATATATTATTTATATTCTCATATGTGGCTTTTTAACTGCAAAATTCGAGCAATAAAAGAAAAACGAGTTATGAATAGTCACTGGCAAATCATATATATTTTAACGATCGCCAAGATAGTCAAGGTTGCTGATAAGCCGCGATAAAAGATGGTAAATGTTGTATTTTACGATTAATAAAGCTTCTCTTTTTTCAAATATAATATATAAATAATTAAATAACGATGATTAACAATTACTAATTTT